CGTCCCAGCTCGACGTCGTCAGATGTTCTGGCTCGGCCGCATGTCCTCCTCCTCCTCCTCCTCCTCCTCCTCCTCCTCCTCCTCCTCCTCTCCTCCTCCTCCTCCTCCTCCCCCTCCTCCTCCTCTCTCCTTCGAATACCTCTCTCCTCACTCCTCCTCCTCCTCCTCCTCCTCCTCCTCCTCCTCCTCCCCCTCCTCCTCGGGTCCTCGTTCTTGTTTTCTTCGACCTCATCCTCACACCCGCTGCCATCCTCGTCCCAGGAGCATCATGGCCACGGCACGATGCGGCATCGTAGCCGGAGCGCGCGGTGCCAGTCGGCGGGTTGGTTCTGGGTGTGCTCTGGCGCATCTGCGCCCAGCCCGGCACGTTCTCCCCTTGCGCCGTCCTCGTCGTCTGCCTCTTTCTCGATATTCCTGCAGGATCTGCGCGGTGCGGTGCCCACGATGTATATGGTGCCACGCGCAGAAGGGGGTAGGGGAAGGGGGGAAGGCTTCCCAGAAGCACCACTGCTTCTTAGAAGGCGGTAGATGCAGGGCCGGCGCCTTCTAGGAAGCAGCCTGCTTCTAAGAAGCCTTCCCCCCTCCCCCTAACCCCCTCCTCCTCCTCCTCCTCCTCCTCCTCCTCCTCCTCCTCCTCCTCCTCCTCCTCCTCCTCCTCCTCCTTCCCTTGTGCGCGCCACCAGTGTGTGGTGCCCGGGGAGGGGGCAGTGGCCGCCGTGGCGGCAGCTCACCAGGTTCGCGAGTGGCCCTCTGGTTATCTCTGCGTGGGCGTGCGCGGCCCGCTTTCCCCCCAGCCAGAGTCAGGCTCCTCCTCCTCCTCCTTCCTCCTCCTCCTCCCTCCTCCTCCTCCTCCTCCTCCCCCTCCTCCTCCCCCTCCCCCCTCCCCCTCCTCCTCCCCCTCACCACTCTCCCCCTTCTCCTCCTCCTCCTCCTCCTTCTCCTTCTTCCTCCTCCCCCTCCTCCTCCTCCTCCTCCTTCCTCCCTCCTCCTCCCGCACCTCCTCCTCCTCCTCCTCCTCCTCTCCGCCTCCTCCTCCCTCCTCCCTCCGCCTCCCTCTGCTACTCTCATCCCCTCCTCCTCCTCCTCCTCACTCCTCCTCCTCCCCCTCCTCCTCCTCCTCCTCCTCCTCCTCCTCCTCCTTTTCCGTAGCCGTTTTGGCTCAAGACTAAATGCTTGGGAGGCTGTCCGCCTCCAGGCCTACACGGATACCGCTGTCACCGCGGCCAGACGATACAAGCTTTCTGTCCGACGGCTGGTCCGCCCCAGCCGATCGGCTGCTTCCTGCGGCCCCGCAGGTGAGCAGGTGCTCTCGCGGCCCCAAGACGTCGCTGCAATGGGGCCGCGCGAGGAGGCTGCGTGCAGGTGGTATTGCAAGAGTTGCAAGAGTGATCGCACGGGCAAGCAGTGGTGGAACATGGCGCATGCGAAGAAGTGTGTGCTGTGCGGCTTGGCGAAAGGAGTCACGTTCGGGGGCAACGTTCTGCCCTCGGAGCCTTCAGTCCGCGCTAAGCCCAAGATGCCGCCGTGGAAGTACCAGTCAGCTGAGGCTGCAAGGCAGGCAAAGATTCGTGAGCTCGAGGCGAAGATCAAGGAGCTTCAGGCTGAGGCGAAGCGTGGGCTCTTCTCGTCTGGGGACCCCATGCAAGTCGACGCTGGCGAGAAGGATGATGAGGCGGACATGCGCAAGAGGCTCAAGGAGATTGATGAGCAGCTGGCGTTTGTGTCCAAGTACAGCAGTGAGTCGAAGGCGGGCGCATATGTGGAGTCGTTGCGGGCTGAGAAGGAGAGGTTGCACAGTAAGCTTCAGGAGTCTCGCCCTATGTATGCGAAGTTGCAGACCATGTCTAATCGACTCAAGACGGCGGAGAAGCGGGCGGAAGCTTCGAGAAAGTTGGTGGCAGCGAGGAAACTTCAACTCGGTGAGATGCAGAAGAGTCTGGAGCAGGCTGAGATGGATCTCACGGAGCAGGAGAAGGAGGTGGTGTCGCTCAGTGCGCAGGTGCAGGAGCTCACGAAGCAGGCGCCGATGGCTCCTGAGTCGGCATCGCTCGACGAGAAGGGCAAGGGCATGGCCATGGATGTTGGCGCCTTGGGCAAGATGCTTGAGGCGCAGGGCATCGGCTCCGAGCAGGCGGCGGGTCTGGCGCAGGTGCTGGCGGACAGTATGGGCACGCTCTGGGTCAAGCAAGAGGCTGATGAGTCGCTCCGAGCTCCTCGCACGCCGAATGGCGGAGCAGGCGTCCCTTCGTCTGGCACGCCGAGTACTGAGGCAGGGGGCGGAGCTGCCGCAGCTGCAGCAGCAGGGGGCGCCCAGCCCAAGTCTTTGGACCAGGTCATTGCAGATGCCAAGGAGGAGGAGCTGCGTGCATCGTTGGAGGCGTTTTACCCATCCGATTTGGCTGAGCATGTTCCCAAGGACCTTGAGGGGCTTCGGGCTGCTGCTGCTCGTCTGGCGGCTATGCCTCTCTTCAATCAAAGTGGGCAGCGGCTTGCAGTCGTGCGTGCACCTTTTTGAGATGCCGCGTAATGGTATTCCCTTGCATGCTTTGCCGCAGCAGCAGGTTGTGGCAGACTCCTGTCTGGACGGTGATGATTGCCAGTGGGATTTTCAGGGGTTCGACGACGTTGGCTTCGACCAGGACGAGTTCTTCGGTATCACAGGGAGTTCGACGGCGGTGGCTACCTCTCTGTCGGCCACGAGGGCGTCTACTGGAGGCAGCACTGCTCTGGCGACTGGTCGGCAGTCTAATATTGATCTCAGGTTGAAGGGAGTGATCACATCTGCCAATGTGGAGGGTGCTGGACCTTTCAAAATGTTCATGGAGACGTGCAGGTCCAAGATTGTGGTGATTCAGGAGCATCGCACTTTAGCCAAGCATCTTCCATCTTTGCAGTCTCATATTCGAGATCTCGGTTTCCATGGCTTCTTTGGTGGAGCTGTGGAAACAGAGGCTGCTGGGCGATCAGGTGGAGTCGCCATCCTGGCTCCGACGCACATCGTGGTGAAGGCGCCTCCGGAGCTCCCTGAGCATGAGCTGGAGCCAGGTCGTATCGCTGCTGCAGATGTTTCCTGGATGGTACCAGGAGGTGTTGTAATTATAGCTGTGTGTCTTATCTCTGGTGAGGGAATGAGCGCAGCAAATGAGGCCTTGCTGGTGAAGATCGCGAGATATCTGGCAGTTTTGAATGCTATAGGGCGCGACCGGATCGCCATGGGAGATTGGAACCTCACGCCTGATTTGCTTTCTTCTGGATGGTTGATAGGTGTGAATGGCTTCGTTGCGGCTCCGTCGAGGCCTACATGTTTGTTGGAGCAGCCTGGCAGTATCATTGATTACGCTCTGGTGTGCGCCAACTTGGGAACTCGAGTGCGACGGCCTCAGGTGGTTGACGACAGTAATATCAAAGTTCACTTACCTGTGGAGTTGCCCGTGTTAGCTGAAGACAGGCCAGCATGGGTGCGACAGGTGGTGGAGCCAGCTCCCTTCCCGAAGACGCCGCCTATCGGATGTGAGAGATTTCCATTGGATTGGAGTGAGGTTGAACGGCAAGTTTTTTATGCTCAAACCAGCGACGACTTGAGCTTGGCTTGGGACGCGTTGCTGGCTGGACTGGAATTTGAATTGCAGGGTGTCTATGATTGTGTAGATGGAGTAAAGGCTTCGTCGACGACTGGACGTGGTGGCCCTCTACTTACCCAGATGGCACAGGCCAAGTGGCGACCTCCTCTTCGACGGTTGCAGCATGGTCCTGAGCTACGGGCTTGGATTGTTGCTCTAAAGTGGGTCGTCCATTGCCGGAGGGTCAAGAAGCACGTTGCCAAGTTGGTTGACAAGCTTCTGATTTGGCAGGACGGGAACAGACTTGTGAACGTTCTGGCCGATCACTCTGCGCTGGCGAAGGTGCTGGTGGAATTCACTCGTTTTATGCATGGAGTTCGTGGTTGTGAAAGTACGCTGCAAGCTCTACCTGCATGGGTTTCTGAATTCTTCTTGCCGCCACATTGCTTTAATCTATTGGCGCGTGATGACTTTGACCAGGTGTTTGCCAACGTCCAAGATGCTCATGATCGCCTGTTATCTGCTCATGAGAAGTGTGATCGTGCTCGATGGAAGAGGTTCGTGGATTCAGCCTTTGAGAAAGGTGCTAGTGGTGCGCATCGTTTCACTAGGTTACAGGCGACCCAGGAAATCATCGAGGCAGGCAGTGAGCAATCACCACACGAGTTGGCTGATCGTGAAATGAAAAAGTGGTTGAAGGTGTGGGCGGTGCATGAGGATAGCGAGATCCTGTTGCCGACCGACAGTGCCAGTTGGCCTTCTCTGCCCTACATCACCACGGATATGATGGTTCAGGCTATCCTCTCTTTCAAGTGGAAGACGGCAGCTGGTCCGTCGGAGCTGCAGCCCAGATCGTTGTGGTTCTTATCGCGTGAGGCTTTGGGGGCCATGGCCTCTTTCTTCATGAGGTGCGAGGACTTGCTTCTCTGGCCAGTGGATTGTATTCACTCTGAGATGGCTATGATTCCGAAGGACGGAGGCGGAACTAGACTGGTGGCTCTCATTCACACGCTGATACGTGTTTGGTCGAGAGTCCGACGACCACTTTCACGGCAATGGTTGCAGCAGTTTCCCTCGGAGATGGTCTGGGGCAATAGGAAGGGGTACTCGTCGTCGGGGTCGGCCTTCATGCATAACGCGATGGCGGAGATGTCTAAGCTGCTGGGCCAGCATTCGCTCACGGTGATGATGGACATGTGGAAGTGCTTCGACACGGTCAAGGTCAGCAGTCTGTTTAGTGAGGCTCGGGAAGTTGGCTACCCTTTGCGACTACTTTGGCAGTTGGTGACTTCTTACAAAATGCCTCGGGCTGTGAAGGCGTTTGGGTCGGTGTCAGTCCTACACGAGGTGGGGCAAGGCATCTTGCCTGGATGCACTCACGCCACGACTCTGCTGACGGTGTTGATGATTCGTACGTTGATTAGTGTTAAGGAGATATGTCCGACTATTCACCCTCGGGCTCTTGTGGATGATGGAACCTTGCAGTGGGTGGGGCCGGACCTGCAAGAGATGGTTGAGCTGTCAAGGCTACTCGCATTTTCAAGAGTGGCATGAGAAGGCTCGGCCTGCTGGTTCAGCACGTCAAGTCGGGCTTCGTAGGCACCACCCGAGAGGCGCTCAAGAAGTTTTCTCCGTGGGCCAGGGTGCTGGGGCTCACTCAGAGGAAGCAGATGCGCAACTTGGGACATGATATGGTCGGTGGCCGTGCGATTCGAACTGTTGCTAAAGGACGTCTGGATAAGCTGCAGAAACGAATGGGACGCGTCAAGGTGCTCCAGAAGGCTGCTGGTTCCAAAGTGGGGGCCATTTGGCGGTCTGGGCGGCTGGCAGGGGCCGCGCACGGCAGCTCGGTCTCGGGCGTTCCCGACTGTGACCTGAAACAGCTCAGGCAGACGGCTGGAGTTATCACTGGGGTTCACGCCAAAGGGGTCAGTGTCACGGCCTACTTGGTGTCTCAGCGCGACCCGTACATGGACCCGATCTTCGACGCCACGCTCAACATGGTGTATATGTACAGTTGTTTCGTGTTCGGCATGAGGATGGACATGGGCAAGCTCGAGCGGGCGTGGCGTGTACTCCAAGACCTGTGGCATGGACGTGATCCAGGCTGGCAGGGGGTTCGAGGACCGATAGCTGCGACCTGGCTGTCTTTGCGAAGAGTAGGCTGGGAGATGGCTAGTAGCACGCTGACTGTCAATGACACGGGCGTTGTGATTTCGCTGTTAAAGATGCCTCCCAAAGATGTTCGAAAGTTGCTGCGCCTTGGAGTTCAACGGTGGCAAGGCCGAAGGATTCTGGAACATCATGCAGAACACTTGGAGGGGGGCGAGTCGTTGTGGATGCGAGCGGTGCATCTTACCGTTGGTGGTAAGGCAGCCACCATCAAGAATGCACAGGTCGCGGGAGCTCTTCGTTGCCTGTGGGCTGGTGGCTTCATGACTGTGCAGAAGCGGCATCAAAGAGGATGGTTGCCTACGCCACACTGCCCACATCCCGACTGTCGCAAACAATGTGCTGTTGGAGATCTTGGTCATCTGTGGTACGCATGTCCGAATTTGCTTGAACAGAATGATGCTGGCGGTCTGCCAGCCTGGTCCGAGGAGATGGAAAAAACGCTTGATCGTCTGTCTGAGGAGGGAGTCAATGTCTTGGGGCAGGACAGTTTTCACCTGCTGAAGTTTTGTATTGGGCTCCCCCAGGCTCCTCCGGATCTCCCCCCTCCGCCCTCTGAGCCTCCCACCTTCTTCTGGGGGACTGGGGGTCGAAGCCTGAGGGATGGGGTCCAACTGCCTTCTTCGATGGGTCTGGGATGCACAGCGCCTGGCCAGAATTCAGGCGTTGTGGATGGTCGGCTGTTCAGATGGGAGAGTTTGGGCTCCCAGTTCGTGCGGCCTACGGTCCGCTCCCAGGCCCCATCCAGTCGGTTGGCCGTGCTGAAAGACACGCGCTTTTGCGGGGGCTCCAGTTGTTGCCGCGTTTAGTGCTGTCTGTCTCGGACCTCCCTGGGGCCGTGCGTGATCCTGAGCATGCGTCTGCCGCGGCCGCCCATGCTGATATCTGGAGGCAAATTTTTAGCGTCGCTCAGGGGGGGGATAACCCGAAGGCTCCCATGTATGAATGGGTGCCTGCTCATCTCTCTCTGGAGGAGTTTCTCGAGCGAGGACAATGGCCCGTGTCTTGGTGGTTTGGCAATATGTGGGCGGATTTCTTCGCCAAGATGGGGGCCTGCTCGCATAAGGTCGCTGATTCTTTCGTTGCTTACTGGTCTGATCAGCTTGCCATTGGCAGGAACAATGCCACATTTTTTGGCTGGGCTGCTGCCCAGCATGCGGCGCATAAGGAGGTTGTGGGTGGGCAGCTGGAGGCCCTGCGGGAGATGGACATCCCTAGGCCTGCTGCTGATGTAGCTCGTTTCCTCCGTGCGCCCCCCCTCCTCCGTTTCCAGGAACATGATTTCTGGCGAATTGATGCTTTCATGGTCTGTCGCTCCTGCCTGGCCAGGGCGAAGACGGAGGCTTCGCGTAAATGGCTTACTCAAGGCAGTGGGCGAGAGTGCAACCCCTCTCCTTTGCAGCGTGAGCGTGCCCGCCTGGCGTTTGCCAAAGGTGGATTGTATGCCGCTGCGACCCCCCTGGCCAGGCCAGAGGCTGTCCAGTCTGCGATGTCTGGCGCTTTGGAGGTCCTGGGGGCCGAGGTTTCTGGGGCTGTGCCCGCGTCTTGCTCTGGTGTGCCTGGGTCTGGATCGGTCTCGGAGCCCAGGCCTGGGGGGGGGGGGGGGTGTGTGAGTTTCAGGTTTTCACTTCGCTTGGGCACGTGATGGAGCGCGCAGGCCCATATATCTTCTGCACGGCGTGCGGGTCGTGTTGTGCTCAGGATGGGGCCCAAGCTGCGTTCGGTGTGCATGCCCCCGAGCTCGGGGGTGCTGCCTGTTCGGGTGAGGAAGTCTCTTGCGAATATCCGCGATGGCCTGCGCCCGAAGTCTGGTTTAAAACTCTCAGGGGCCGTCCCCCAGGAGTAATTTTGTTGGCCCCGTCCCCCCCGTCGTCGTCGCGTCGCCTCTCCCCCCGCCGCGTGCGTTTTCTTTTTCGGCACGTTGACGGCGCTGGAGGTCCAGGCACCGACGCACGGTCGGGTAAGTGGATGGGGCTCTCTCTATAATCATCAGGGCGCTTGCGGGTAACTTGCTGGCGTCTCTATGTCTTGTATCTCTTGTACCTCCTCCTCCTCCTCCTCCCCCTCCTCCTCCTCCTCCTCCTGTGAGGCCCGGGGGAGGCGGGGGAGCGGAGCAGGTTGCTGCGATTCGCTTGGGTCGCTGGCCGTCGGCTCGCCCATCGTGGTGTCGACGCCAGGGAGGGGGGTCCAGCGCAGATCCGATAGATTGGCGCGGGCTGCCGAAAGGTCATGCTGATGCCGTTGCGGTTCCTCTATGTGTGTTGCCTCTTCCTTTGGAGGTACGCGGAAATGAACAAGCGCCTGTTCGACGCCATGCCCACCATGCTCATGGACGAGGAGCTCGCCAGGCAGGGCACGCTGGACGACGCAGTCGCCGGGCCCGAGCCGTACGACCGCCAGACGGCCGATGCGGAGGGGGAGGAGGAGGAGGACGAGGACGAGGACGAGGACTAGGACGAGGACGAGGAGGACGAGGAGGAGGCGGAAAAGGAGGAGGAGGAGGACGGAGTAGGAGCGGGTGGGAGGGAGGGAGGGATGACAAGGGTGAAGGATGAAGGAGGGAAGGATGGACGGGGAGGAGGAGGAGGAGGAGGAGGAGGAGGAGGAGGAGGAGGAGCAGCAGGAGGAGGCATGAGGGAGGAGTGAAGAGGAGTAAGGGAGGGAGGGCAGAGGCGGAGGCGGGCGGAGGAGGATAAGAGACGAAGGGGGAGGGGGGCGGTGGCGGAGGAGGAAGGAGTGTGCGGAGGAATGAGGAGGAGGAGGAGGAAGAGAAAAGAGGAGGAGGAGAAAAGAAGAGGAAAAGGAGGAGGAGGAGGAAAAGGAACAGGGGGAGCAGGAGGATGAGGAGGGGAGGATTGAGAAGGTATTCCTGTTAGTATTATTACTAATCATAACAAACGTCAGCAACAATGTGGTTAATAGTAAATTATGCATCAAGAGCTCATTTGTTTTACCAACGATCGCAATATTGATGTTGACGCGTTTTACTGCATTGTCGTTTTTATTCAAGTGGCTTGCGCTATTCCACGAACCCCCAGGAGGAGTAATAGCCTGCCACGATCGTGTAAGGTATCTTGTCGGATGCATTTGACGGTCTTTCCAGATGCCTGTCAGGGGCGTTTTGGATGGTTTTTTGTAGCCTCTTGGGGGACTCCTGCAGGCCTCTTAGGGGCCTCTTGGGAACGCCTCTGAGGTCTCTGGGGCGCTTTCGGGGCTATTCTGGCCCCTCTTGGGCGCCTCTTGGGGCCCGCTTAGGCCGTCTTAGGGCCCCGGTTGCTGTCTGGGCACCCTCTTAGGCTGTCTGGGGGTTTCGGGCCGTCTTGGGACGATCTTGGGGCCCAATGGGCCGTCGTGGACCTTGTGAAAACGAGAATGGAGAGTATGTCAAAAACGCACGTTTTCCGAAGGGGATGTGACGATTTTTCCTTCGCGGGGCCCTCTTTGCCGTCGTCCTGGAGCACTCTGACGCCGTCGTGGGCGCCCCGTGGGCCGCCTTGAAGCCCTCTGAGACCGTCGTGGGGCTACCCTGTGACGTCTCGACGCTCTTTTGGACTGTCTCGGCGCGCGTTGACGAGTTCGTACCCACCCCACCTCAAGTAGCATTTGGGACCCCTGGGGAGGAGGAAAGGGGGAGGGGGACAGCCAACTGTTTCACATGCCTTTTCACCACTGGCCAGCCGGGGTTTGCGGATTATGTGCATTATTATGAATATGATTCCCCATGTCCTAAGATGGGGATGTTGTTATTACTTAGACGCCTCGGGACCTCCTTCCTCCTTCTCTTCTCCTCCTCTTCCTCTTCTTTACTATCATATCATTCAGATACTCATACTCAGATCACTGACGCTCATAACCGAGTCCATCACAGACCCACTCTTCTCACGGGCCCCATCGCAGACCCACTCTTCCTCACGCAGGCTCAGCCGCCTCACTTCCCCACCCAGACGCACGCAGACCCATAGTCACTCATATTGACTCAAGCCCACTCAGACCCACTCAGGGAATGAGCCCCAGACGCATTCTCACGCATACACATTCCTTGGCATCGCTCGGACGTGTGCATTTTTCCATCGGCGAGGACCATCGAAGAGCATTCTTGACCACTTGGCGAAAAAAACACGCACGAAGCCGAAAAAAACAGGGAATGGACGTCCGAGCGATGGCCAGATTCAGTTTATCACTTCGACACACTCTTCCTCACTCACTCAGACTTTTCTGATGGTCCACTGCTCACCGCGATCTAGCAGGCGTGGCACCTGGGCACCCCCCAAGTGGGAGCCGCAGGGGCTGAAGCCACTCCAGAAGTCGCGCCCAGATTGGGGAGATATCTCAGGCGGTTTCCCTGCTTCTGCCCCCCAAGCTTTTCTCTTTTGGTGGCTTGATGCTCATCGCTATACATATATATATATATATATATATACAGAGAGAGAATAGCAGGCGTGGCATTTGGGCACCTCGCGAGGGGAACCGCCAGAGGTGAAGACACTCCAGAAGTCGCGTCCGGGTTGTGGGATGTCTCCGGCGGTAGGATGGTGTCTGCCCCCTAGACTTTATTCTTTCAGTAGTCCACTGCTCACCGCGATATAGCTGGCGTGGCACTGGGGACACTCCACAAGACGTGCCCACATTGTGGGGATGTCTCAGGCGGTTTGCTTGTTTCTGCCCCCCAGACTTCTCTCTTCTTGTGGTCCAGTGCTCACTGCGATCTAGCAGGCGTGGCACCTGGGCACCCCAAGGCAGAGCCGCCAGGGGCTGGGGCATTGCAGGATTCGCGCCCAGATTGTGGGGATGTCTCGGGCGGTTTGCTTGTTCTTGCCCCGCAGCCTCCCCGCGATATAGCAGGCCTGGCATTTGGGCACGTCAATGGGGGAGCCTGGTCAGATTGTGTGGATGTCTGTGGCGGTTTGCTTGTTTTTGCCCCCCACATACTTTTCATGGTCCAATGCTCACCGTGATATAGCAGGCGTGGTAATTGGGCACTCCAAGGCGGAGCTACCAGGGAAGACACTTCAGGATTCGCGCCCAGATTGCGGGGATCAGTTTCTGTACGGCATACTTCTCTTTGGATTTGCGTGCTCCTCATTCACTCAGTCACTAACTTCCTTCTCCTTGCCCCCACTCTGACGCACTCATTCGCGTTCGGAATTACTTACCAGCTCCTCTTCCTCACTCATGCGCTCTCATCATATTCAGACTCACGCGTACTCATTAAATCATATTCAGACTCACTCATGTTTACTCGCTCACACTCAGACTCATCCAAGCCCATGTTCAATCATAATCAAACCAAGAACTCACACTCAGACTCAGTCGCACTCGTACTCACCCACCTTCTGACTCACTCATACCCCGACTACCTTGCACCCAGGCTCGCTCAGATTCAGACTTGCTTTCAGCACGCTCAAACTTAGACTTACCCACACAGACTCACTCACGCTCAGACCCACTCGCACTCAGACCCGGCACTCAGACTCACTCATATTGAGACCCACTCGTGCCCAGATTGATCATATCCAGACTCACTCACACCCAGGCTCAATGATACCTGGATCCACTCACACTCCGAGCCGCTCACATTCAGATCACCCGCGCTCATAGTCTTTCGCCGTGAGGCTCATGCGCAAGTGGTTGCCGGCCGCGGTGGTGCTGGCGTGGCATTTGGGCACCCGGGGTGCCAGCAGGCGCCGCGAACAGCGCGCCACAGAGCGGGCGTAGCAACGCCATGCGCGCTTGCTGGAGTTGCCGCAGGGAACACGGCAACAGAAATTTCGCCTCGCTCTTCCATGTTTGAGATCTCTCGTTTCCTGAAGTATGTCCAGAGGCGGAGGAAGTCAATGAAGTCGTCGCTGTCGTCGTCGTTGCCGCGCATGTCATCTGCGCAGATTCGCTCTCACACCCAGATGCCTATAGACAGTGTTCCTCAGCGAGACGTGATCGGAGTATGAGATACATGCACATATGGGGATTTCCACGTCGTGTGATTCTATTAGTAGCAGCCGTATTCTCAGCATTCGCATCAGCAGTGGAAGTAGTAGGCGTGGCCGTAGTAGTAGAAGAAGAAATAGTAGTAGTAGTAGTAGTAGTAGTAGTAGTAATAATAGTAGTCGTAGTTAAAGTAGTAGTAGTAGTAGTAGTAGTAGTAGTAGTAGTAGTAGTAGTAGTAGTAGTAGTAGTAGTAGTAGTAGTAGTGGTAGTAGTGGTAGTAGTAGCGGTAGTGGTAGTGGTAGTAGTAGTAGTAGTAGTAGTAGTAGTAGTAGTAGTAGTAGTAGTTGTTGTTGTTGTCGTAGGAGGGGTCGTAGTAGTCGTAGTCGTAGACGTAGGGCTACGGCTACTACTACTACTACTACTACTACTACTACTACTACTACTACGACTACTACTCTTATTACTACTATCACCACTATTACTACTACTACTACTACTACTACTATTACTACTACTACTACTACTACTACTACCATCGCTACTACTTCTACTACTCCTGCTACTACCACTACGATTACTAGTACTACTACTACTACCACTACTACTACGACGACGGCTACTACTACTACTACTTCTACTTCTACTTCTATTACTGCTACTACTACTACTACTGCTACTACAACTACTACTACTACAACTACTGCTACTACTACTGGTATGACTACAACTGGTGTTGTTACGATATTTTGACTGAGGGGGCTACTACTATTAGTAGTAGCAGTGCTACTAGTACTACTAATATTACTGTTACTACTACTAGTATTACTACGACTATTCCGTACTACTATTCTTTTTGCGACATTTACTGTTTCTACGAGTCGCGGTCGTAGTAGTAGCGGTGGTGTTTTTTATTCGTAGTAGTAGCAATAACAGTATCTGTAGTATTCGTTGTAGTGGTACGTGGCAGTGGTAGTGTTAGTACCAGTGGTCAAAGTAACATCAGTAGTCGTAGTTGCAGCCGTCGTCGCCGTCGTAGTCGTAGTCGTAGTAGTAGTAGTAGTAGTAGTAGTAGTAGTAGTAGTAGTAGTAGTAGTAGTAGTAGCAGTAGCAGTAGCAGTAGTGGTAGTAGTAGTCGCCGTCGTCGTAGTAGTGGTAGTAGTAATAGTAGTAGTAGTCGTAGTAGTAGTAGTAGCAGCAGCAGCAATAGTAGTGGTAGTACTAGAGGTAGTACTAGAGGTAGTAGTAGTAGTCGTAGTAGCAGTAGTAGTAGTAGTACTAGTAGTAGTAGTAGTAGTAGTAGTAGTAGTAGTAGTAGTAGTAGTAGTAGTAGTGGTGGTACTAGTAGTACTAATAGTAGTCGTCGTCGTCGTCATCGTAGTACTAAGAGATATAGTTGTAGTAGCAGTAGTAGTAGTAGTAGTAGTCGTAGTCGTAGTCGTAGTAGTAGTAGTAGTAGTAGTAGCAGTAGTAGTAGTAGT